CAGCAACCTCCCCCCCACCAAAAACAAATAAAAAAAAAAATCCCAAAAACAAAAACAGTATACAAGCCACAGACAGAGGTAAGCAAAGCCTTTGGCCACAGCAGAGCCATTCTGAACTGATGCAGCACAAGACACCCCCTGCGATTGTGAGGGACAAGGAGAATGAGGCAAGAGAGTGGGAGGCCCCAACACACTGGCCCTGTTCACTAGATTGATGTTGCTCTTGCTTCTGGCCTGGAAAATGCCTCATACAGCATTGCTAGTGAAACTTCTCTTTGGCTCAGGTGTTCAGTCACTCTGGGTGCACAAGCTGGAAAGATGCTGTGGTGCTTTACACAAATCAAGAATGACACTAGCTTTGAAAATCAGCTCTGCCTCTTGAATTAGCCCTGAATCATGCTAACTGGATACCAGCAATTAATGAGCACAAAGCAGCCCATATTCAGCAGAGCTGGAAGCAGCAGGAACACAGTACTCATGGCAAGGCCTGCCTACACCCAATCTGAGTCTAACCCAACTGCCACATGCCTGCCTAGTCACTGCTTCCTTCTAGCAACTTGTCCCTGCATGAAATACTCTGAGGTGCTTCTAGTGGCAAAAGGTGTACTTGGTAGAGGTGTATGTCTTTTTGTCTCAGACCAACATTGCTACCAAGTACACTCCTGAAAAATGGAAGATGCCAAACTTTAGCTGATTTTTGGATTTAAGCTTCATTGCAGAACATCAAGGAAACTTTGGTTTTGTTTTTTTAACCTCCCTGCCTGTCATCTGACACCCCCAGGGAAGGAATTCTACCTGATCAACACATGAAAGAGTTACTCCATGCAGCTCACAAAGACACTCTCATGGACCCAGAGGGGGGCAACCTTCCATCTTCAGCTCCCTCTGTGAAAAAATGAAGTTTTTTCCTACCTATGGGGACTTTTTACCCTCTTGCACCGACTACACTTTTCCCAATGCCTGACAAAGGGACTTTGTTCTTTTCTGCAAGCTCTCAGGATCAATTTTCTTGCCATTTTCCAGTTGGTTTAATAAAAGGTATCATTCTGGAACCAAGGAGTTCTAGTTTTTTTGTAGGTCTAATTGCAGAATTACTAAAAGGAACTAAAATGCTTCATCCTGCTCAAATGAGTAAGTTCACTCCTGTGTAATATGCTGCTGGGAGCAGCCAAGTTTGCAAAAGAGCAAGAAGCAGAGGAATCCCAGGCAGGTAGGCTGAGTGAAGGAGCTAAACACACCAGAATGGCAGAAGAGGCATTTACCCAATGAGCTGGGAGACATTCACAAGAGTGAGCCCTGCATAAGCTGCAAGGGCAGCCCAACAGCCAGCAGAACCCAGAGGCAGGCCTATGCAGCATTAGGCTGGCAAGTGTGATAACTTGTCCTGGACTAATAAATTATAGTTTGGAGACATTACCCAGGGGGATAGAGGTCTGTAAACAAAAAAAACTCAGCCCTTTTTTTTTTTCCTCCCTGAACAATGCAGCCCCACCTGGAAGAAACACACACCTAAGTAAACTATATCAAAGGCAAACTCCTACTAGAAAGGCTTCTTTCCAATTCTCCCATCATCAGCCTTGCCCTGCATCCTCCAGGGACACTAAGGTCATTCCCACTCCAGCCCTGCCTGTCCTGCTCCTGTCCCCAGGACAGTCCTGCACACAGCACATCTCACTGGCAACAGGTACAACCCACTTCAGGAGCAAACTCTAGCAAGCTGAGCAAGGCAGAAGTTGGTGTCTGCATCACACCACAGCCAGGGAGAGGGAGGCAAAAGCTGGAATCAGTCTATTGCAACGTGAGCCAGGCAAGTGCAGCACAAACTGTCCCAAAAAGGAAGTAAGAAATCTTACATCCTGCACCAGCTCCAAAGTAACAAACCCCATCCTCAGCCCTTAGCTTGCGCTTGCACCCACCCTGCTCCACTCCCCCTACAAGCTCTAGATTATTTTTCCGCTTTATTTCAAGTTTAAAGCAACTTACTAACCTGTAAACAACTCTTCTTCCTACCCCTTTCCATAAACTGCTGGTGATATCACTCGTACATCCTGCTCCCTCCCCTTTTGGCAAGTCAGGCCTCGGGAAGGCCATGGGATTGGCTGCACTATTCAGCTGGCCTTAATTCCCTTAAGGAGACAGAAGGGCTCATTAGTGAGATATGGCAGGTGGCTAATGAGAACCTGTCTTGTTCTCAGTGGCAATTAGAAATCCACTTCTCCTGTTTCAGGCAGCAGTTCAATCCTTGTTCTCGCTCTCCTGTTTCATGACTGTCGAAGTGCCAGGCCTTAACACTGGAGACAGCCTGCTCGCAGCACCTTCTCCAGTACCTTTGCATCTGCAGAGTTTGAAGTGCTTCACAGATGTGAATGGCATAAGGCTCTTGGTGGGAGGCAGTCGTTAAGGGATCTATCTGAGATCTCCCTTGCCAAGCCAGGGCAGGAATGCGAACCAGTCCTGACCTCAGGTCTGTGCTCTAACCATTGACCTTTCTCCCTCCCGTTAAGGGACAGTCCAGGTGACTCTCCTCTCTCATTCATGAGGGCTGTCTTCCATTTTCCCTTTGTCCTCAACAAGGGCTTAGCAGCACCCCTCATAGTCCAGGACCCCATGCACCAGATGCTGTACAAACACTGAACAAAAAAAGGGGCCTGCACAGAAAGCTGAGAGTATTAGCATAAGAATGGGCTAAGAGAGCATCATGTCCAGCACACCTGTACACAGCTAGAAGAAGCTCCCCCTCACAGGTTTGACTCATGCAGGCTTTAGCAGGTAAAAGGGGGGGGGGAGCGGGTACTCAAGAGCACATGGACGTAGCAGGGGCTAAGAGCCCCTCTGCTCACTGCAGATGCCACATCTTGAGTCACAACCTGCATTTGATACACTAAAGTGTTTTCCACCTACTAACCCTGAACAGCCCTGAGGTTCCTTCCCCTGGACAGGCTGCTGCAGGCCAGGAGCTAAATGTCTAGATTTACATTCAGGGGACACAACGCAAGGTATTGGTTATGGAAAGTTCTCACTGATACAGTCTGTTCCCCTTGGGGCAGTATACATACTACAAAAGTGTCTGTGGGAGACAAAGTTCCTCTCAGGAGAGGAGCTGCGGCTCTTCTACTCCTCTGCAGTGTCATAATGAGAGTGGCTACTGGTTTGGGAAGTAGGAGGGTTAGCAGAAATGTTTCTAGGGACCATAGTGATGTGGTTTGAAAATGGGATGCTCTGATTTCTTAATAAATGACTGCTTGCTGAGCACCTATTTCCAATGGCCCCTGACAGGTAACCAACCTGTGGCATGGGTACTGCTAGTAGCACTGGCAGCCTGTCTGTGGCATGCTGCAGATGGAGGGGGCAGGCAACACATTGGCAGATAGGACAAGCAGAAAGCAGAGCAACACATTGGGTGAGGGAAGGGGATTGGAGTGGCACTCAGGAAGGATGCAGGGCTTAATCTGTGGTGTGCCTGCCAGAAAGGTTGGCTGCCACTGCCTTGAAGTGTTGAAGCTACAGCACATCTGTAACTAAATGTCTTCCCCCATTTTATTGCTGATGGCTTTCCTTTTTTTTGCCACATACACTGGATCAGTTTCACCACTTTGCATCTAGGCAGTTTCATGATATGTTGCCCTATCTCAGGTATGTCCTTTTTTGGCCTGAGAAACAATTAAGTGCAAACAACCATCCACGGGCTATATCTCAGCTGACTTGTGTCCCTATTTTGCAGAAACGTGCTGAGAGCCCTTCAAAGGATACGTTTGTTATCAGTGTAAGAAAATAAAGTCAGGGGACTCACTACAGCAAACTGTCAGACCCACCTTAGGTGTTGCTGCCTGATAAACAGTTTGAGTGAAATATTACAGGCAGCTTTAAGAGGTTCTGAATCAGCCTGACGTCCCCCATACAGTCTGGTCTTGGATAACCTTGTTCTTGAAATTTACAGGGGAGATGAAAGTCAGAGGTTACCCTCCTAAGTCACTTACAGGCCCTTTTCAAAAAAAATCTCTGCCCTCATCACCCCTGCCATTCATTTTTAGCAACCAGAGACACTGCTTGGAGACCAGAGATAGCTGTTTGCTTTTGGCTTTCACTGCAAGCCAAGCACTATTACCCAAGAAATCCAGTTTTCCCTTAGCAAACGTGCATCTCCATGTCACATACTGCACCAAATATGTGGCTGCACAGGAAACAGTTGCTTTGCTTTTTCATTCCTGCTGCATTTGTCTTGTGCAAATTCCAGAACACAGCAGATCATACAGTTGTTCTCTTAAAGAGACAGTCAAGTCAGAAACCATAACCATGCAGATCAACTGTCATTATGCTTTAAAAATATACTGCTATCTGTGAGCAAATCTTCATAGCTGGAGAGGAGGGTGGTAGGAAGAGGAGCAAGAAAGCCAAGCCAGGGTTGTACAAGTCAGCAACAAAATCCAAATGTTCCAGTTCTCAGTATGTTCTTTAACCAAGACATACCTCCCTGGACGTAGAGCCTAGCGTTCTAGGACACAATTGACTTTCAAAGAAGGGCTTCCAGACTACATCTTACCTCCTGATAATGCCAACTTTGGCGCTGCATGCTGGGTCTTAAGTCCTTAAAGGAACGGCTATTTTATTACATTTAAAAAGCTAGTCAATAAAAGGACAAGAGGGGCCCAATTCCATGTACCCTGAGGCCTGTACCTTGTGTTTTTTACCATTTACACTAGTGCAAAATACAAGAATGATGCTACTGCTGAATCCTTCTTTGGTAGAACTGCATGCTCCTTTTGCCCCGGAAATGGGAGCTTCATAAGGTACCAAGCTGAATCGTGCCCTGTATCCTGAAGGGGCTGAGACCTCCCAGACCCACTTGACCCAAGGTATATCTGCCCAGGACACTTGCTAGTTATGAGGGGGAGATGTCAGTCTTACCTGGCCCAGAGACCCCAGCTGCTGCCTGCAATTCTGATATTCCCTCTAAGCTCCCCACCCCTGCTCCCCCCCAGTAAAAAAGGGTACCCAGAACTAGTGATGACTCTGAAACTCATGCTAAGCTTGGGCCTACTCACAAAAGTTAAAATACAGAATACTGATACTATCTGCATATTGCAAGAGGATGCAAGTTCATGGCTAGGCCATCTGAGAAGGAATAATAAAGTATCTCTTCTAGCTGATCTTCCTCTATTCAGGATGATTTCAGGCAGACTCTTAGCTGTCTGGTGTGTAACCATATGAAATGTCTATCCTTGATTAATTAGTATGGTAAATATTTCTGTGACAGGCTAGCTGGTAATGATTTGGCCCAGGGGTTTTGAAAGGGTAAAAGATGATTGGAGGGCTTGGGATTCCCTTTCCTCACCAATCGGACCCCAGAGACTCACCCTCCATATCCACTGATTGGCCCCTTGGGTCACCTGGAGGGGGATAAAAGGGGCAGCGCAGCTGATTCATAGGAGACCAATGAGGAATCAGGAGGAGACAGACTCAAAGAGCTGGCCCAGGAGTAATTACCCCAGAAGCATCTGAAGGAGTATGACCTGTAGGCAGCAGTTGAACCTTCAGCACCAAGATGTATGGCTGGTAGGAGAGGCTCCCTGCTGGGCTCCAGGATCCCCTAGGAGAGGCTGCCCAGCTTCAGCAAGGGACTAGGAAGCTCAATGTCAGGCAGGGGATCCTGGAAAGTTAAAACCCCTAGCAGCTTAGACCAGTACCAGCACTGATGACTGTATGCTAGAGTTTCTGCCTACCATGTGGAAGATCTGAGTTCAAGTCCCAGCTGGGGTGAGTGAGGTGTCAGGGAGAAATTCTTGTTGCCATAGAAAAGGGACCATGGTGTTTTCCTTCTTTCCTTGCTTCAGGTACCTAGGCCCTATATTCCTCGTTGTTTGACATTCTGTGCCTTTTAGATTTTGCCAGCTGGTATTGTTTGTTCTGCTGTTTTGTGTTTTTATATTTTGTTAATCCTATCTTTTGTCAACTGGATGAATATGTGTATGATTGCCTAACCTTTATTGAATCCTGCCCCCTCAGGGCATTACAGTGTCCTATATACCCCCTGGTTTATACATGTTATGTTCCCACTACTGTCTCTCTCATTAAAAGGTATATGGTTAAGTCCCCATTGGTGGTCTGGCTCTCCTCTATAGAAGAAGGAGGATCTCTACACCTCCCACAGTGGTTGTGCACCTGCTTTGATCCCTTCAACTGGAGAGGGGGTACCTCTTGGAGTACCTCCTGGGTTGCATTTCTTTTGTAACTAACTCACGTTTATGTGCAAGAAAAGACATTCTCCATATATGATAGATGTCTCGTCCTGATTTAGTATGTTTTTCCTGGCTGTTACTCAGTTTCTTAATCAAACCTCTTCTTACTGGTAACTCATTCAAATTAGAAATTTCTGATTAACCAGTAATGAGCAGGTTTTTCCTGTCAGTTACTGCTTGGGACTCTCTCTTGATTTACACAACTAAAAGAATGCTTTGAAGATGTTAAACTCAGGGTATAAAAAGACAGTAAAACAGCGCATATGCTTCGAGAGTAAAAAATTTCTCTGACACCACTTGCTGATGCGCCCAACTTACTCAAAGTTGAAGAGAAACAGATCACTTCTTCCTCACCTGTTTTCATGAGAAATCATCACCTTATAGCTAATAACTGGACTTTAATTTGGTTTGGGCTCACTTGACTTGATTTTAAATACTTGTAGTAAATAAAGCCTTTCTATCACTCATTGAACAAGGTTCGTGTCAATCCCTAGGCTAGTCTAGAATCCTAGGTTTTTATTTGCTAACAGTAGCGACCTGCTTGCCCACCGCTTGTTAGGCTCCTGCTGGACTCTAAACAGGTTTAGTTTGAAGAACCATCACGTTGAACAACTTTGTCAGTGGGTTTTTTCCTTTTTTTAATAATTTTTTTTTTTTTTGCACAGAAATATACCAAGTTTTACAGAATACAAACTGCAGGGCTCACTGTGGTGAAGACTGAAGAGGGTTGATGGAAGAGAGTTCTCTTCCACCTCTCTCTGGCCCTTCTCGGGTTCCCACAAAATCCCAAAGGTGGCTACTGATGACCATAGACACCTCTCACAACCTGCTAAGGCCCAAATGTAGAAAACAGGCCCCAAAGGAGGCAGCCACAACAAACAACACAGGCAGCTGAAAACAATGGAGGCTCTGGAACAGAAATCACAGCATTTTCTATCAACTTGGTTCATGAGTCAACATTTCTGTGGTCAGATGTTGCACAGCAAAGCAGGGGAGGATATGGTGCAGTTGGACCAGAGGTAACCCCAGGACAGCCAAAAAGAGTATAAAACCCAGTTCTCAACCCAGCTGAGTTGTCTTTGCAAGTACCCACAGAGGGGGAATTGTGCTCAACTTTACAGGAACAACAGTGCTGGATGTTTCAATACTACTAGCACTATGGGATCACCTCATCCAGGGTTGGAAATGTTGGCAGTGACAGTGATGTGGTGAACAGAAAAAAATGCAGGTGGCCCCTAGATAAGTCCCTTGCTGCAAAGAGCTCTGCTTACTAGTGGAGTTCCTTCAGGAACCGATTGCAAGCATAACCCTGAGAGCAACTGGAGCACTGTCCAGGATGAAACATAACAGGAACACTTTTCTCAACCCCCTTCATATCCATCCCACAAGCTATGCTGTGCTCCTGCTGCAAAAGGAAAGAGATGGGCCATGCAATTGATTGGTACTACAGAACCACCACCAAGAAGCTATTCCTTCCTAACAACATATCACAGACCCAAAGAAAAACCCAAAAAGCAGGAAAAACAGCTGCTCTCCTACATCAGTTGGAGAAAGATGCCATCAAGTCACACTCCTAGCATTTTAGGACAGAATTAGTCTTCTAGACATCCTTAGCAACATTTGGGTTTCATTCAAAAAAAAAAAAAATCTTCCAGAGTTCAATTTGCATAAGAGTTGATGCCCTGCTGTCCTGAAACATTTTGGTCACAGGCTGTTTCAGTTCCCAGAATTAGCATACATTACAGCTTTTATATTTAAGGCTCAGCAAAGACAGGCTTGAGGCTTTTGAACAAGCCCTTTTTGTGGATTCCACTAACTCCTTTCCATCTGCTTTCCATTCTCCTAGGTTCTTGACTTTTTACCATCCTCATTTGTCCTTCTGGTTTCTGAAGGTGGGGAGAGAGTAGGGAAGATTTTGGAGTGAAGGAAAAACCCTCATGGAAACAACAAACTGAACTGGTAGTGAGGGCTGGGACCACAAAATATCACTGCTGGTGTATGACAGCAGAGCTGTGCCCTCCTGAAGGAGCAGGAAACTGGACTCATCACGTCATTTTCAGTTTCTCTAACTAACAACTGCCCAAAACCCATTCTCAGTGGTCCACACCCACTACAAGTCCTGCGCCTAAACTAGACAAGACATTAAAGGAAAAACCCACATCACTGAATCCAACACGGCTCTTGCAAGCCACCTGCCCCAACATGTTTCTAAGAGAGCCAGGCCTTAACCAAGTCTGCCTATGCCCCGTTTGGGCACATTCTGAGGTGACAGTGAAGATCTGGAGACGAGGGAGCAGCATAGGAGCCTGAGGTCTAGCTCTGTTGGAAGCTGGGACTTCCATAGTGACAGCAGATGATCTGAGAGTCCCTTCTTGTTTCAGAATATTAGCCCTAGCACCTAAAATGCACCACAGCCAGTATAGAAGTCCCCCAAAAAACCACTTTGTAGCTCTAGACCAGTGAACTTTTACATGTCCAGAGTGAAGCCTCACTGAGTTGGCTCTGGGGAGCTTACAGGAACCTTCTACTTGCCCTATGCCAGGCTACACACCTGTCTGCAAGGTTCTTAAAACACTTCACCAGCAATGAATTCAGCCTCACAACCACCTCTGTGAGGTCAAGTTCTTCTAAGTGAGGAAGAGAAGGCACAAGGAGGCTACACACTTCAGTGGCAGGCTCAGGAACAAACCCGATTTTTGCACTCCAGGTCTCACACCTGAGCCACAATCCCACCCACAGGTTAGTCTCCAAAGAGTTGGCATGTTTCATGCCCCTCTTTACAATGATGTCACTGTATCCAAAAGTCACAGGAAAGAGTGCAGTTGGTCACTTAGATACATATAAAGGAGATGGTGCTGAGAACACCACCTCTCCAACACGGTCGCACTGAAGAAGAGAGGTAGCATCTTGTGTCAAATATGCACCATATAGAAAATGCCCCTTCCCCAAGCAGCCAACTCCAGCCTGGAGAGATGTTAAGAGCACAAGACCCACCACCCTAACTCCCCACACTATATCTTTTGCTTAACCAAAATGGTACAGAGTGATTTTGCTGATGGCAGTGTCATTCAGAGCACTAACAGCACTGCCAGCGTCTGGGCACTTCCTGAGTGGCAGGGTCCAAAAGGTTTAAGGTTTTCCCCTCCTCCCACCCTACCCATCCCCTCCGGCTTACTTCACTGCAACATATTCACCCACAGCTCCTTCCTCCTCGCTCCTGTGCTCTCCCTCCCATTTCAGTTCCAACGTTCCTGCCTCTCCTAAAACTGCTGCTGCCCTTGCCTTAGGTGACAAAGAAAACATGGAAACAAACAGTGCTTGTCTGACTTGGCAAGGTCACCAAGCCCAAAACCAACAATCTTCCAGCCCGCCGAGTGCTAGATTCCTTTATGCCTGGGGCTGCAATATGGGCAGCAGCAGCAGCAGCATCCAAAATAGAACCTCAGATTAGACTCATTCTAGGCCCTCCCTTTGCCCCCTCTTCAAAGCTGATTGTGGCAGAATGAACGGGCAGAATGAACGGGCAGAATGAACAGAACTGAGAAAGCAGGTCGGGGGTGACAGCAAGTAGAATTTCAAGGGTTCTGGTTCCTAACATTAATAACTACCCTGTGGCACATCACGTGCTCTGGGGAAGGGGAGATTTCCTTGTTGCACCCTCCAACCTGGACATGTAGTTTCACACACCACCTTCCTTCAGCTGGTCCAGTCAGCATTGGCAGGAAATGGTGGGACAGGGAGGAAATAAGTGCATGAAGCCAAGAAGCACCCCCTTTAACTCCATTCAGTATGTGGTAGAGGTACTGGCAGAGATCATGGGGCACCAAGGAGTGTGGAGGTAGTGATGCCCCTACTATTCAGAGAAGGGGGAAAAACCTTGCTGATCTGCTTGGACCAGTATTTGGTTTAGGGTCATTTGGGACAAAAAAGAAAGATCATTCATTCATCCACCTTGGCCACAGAGAAATCTAGACAAGTATCCTACCCTCCAAGCCCCCATCCCCAACTGCTACAGAGGGTGGGATATGGGGATGCTCAACAGGAAACATGTTACAAAGCCAAACTCAGATATCTGCACCAAGGGATCCACTTTACATGTGAGTACTGCTTAGATTTACCCCTTTAAAGACTATATAGGATCCCTGGTTGCAGCCCCTCCCCTTGACAGATAATGGCAACACTAAACACATTGATAGATGGAACAAGCAGGGGAGAGACAGAGAAGTACAGTCAGTGCAGCTCACTGGTCTAGGTGACAAAGCTAGAGTGAATCCATTTTATGTTGTGCAAAGCTGTGCAGAAGTCAAGTGGCTCAACATTCTCTCTCTTTCTCACCCACACAGGCAAAACCAAGGAGAGGTAAACCTTCCGAAGGCAAAATAAACATCAAACACTTAATGAATGAGTAGGGAATAATCCAGAACCATCTCCTCTTCCTTCCACCTGCCCCCAAAACAGATCCCATAACTTTGATGCAGAAAACAAGGGTCTTGTCTAGATCTAGAACCAATGCCAGTGATGGGGCACAAACCAGCTCAACAGGTATTGAAAGAAGGGGTAAAAAAAAGTCCCATCTGTGTGTGATCACTCGTGCCCCAGTCTCTGCATGTTGCAGCACTGTGGATGTAGGGGCATCAGCACCTGCATGAGTAAGTGGTGGAGCCAAGGTGAGCTCTGGAGTGGCAGTGAAATTGTCTGGAATTCAGGGAAATGATGCGGTTCTCTTGGATGCAATGCACCAACATGACCCCCACACAGAGTCTGTGATGATCTGCCACTTGTCTCCTGCTGCTATGGCACTCAAGAGGGAATGGAGGGCAGGGCCAGCTTCCCTTCTCATGGGCAGCTGCTCTGTGGAGCCTCCCTCCCCCTGCTTCTACTGGTACCACTATTGCATAGGGAATACCATCTATGTGGGACAGGCTTTAGTCCCACAGGAGGGCTTAGGGACTCTTCCCACAGCAAGGAATTGGGCTTTGCTGGGAGATGGAGTGGAAAATTCCCAGCCAGCTGCTCCCAGAACCCTCCCATCCAGGTAATCCTGGGCAGATACTACTACCCCACCTGCCACTGTGCCTCTCTGAGCTGGTCCCTTTCCACATGGAGTCTGGGCTGGCTATGTTTTTCCTGGTGAAGAGAATGTGGGGAAAAGAAAATTGCAGAAGCCTTCTTGTGTTAGTGGCTTCTCTCTGTTGCAACCCCTGCTTTGGGGAGGAGAGGTCTAGCTGGATTCTGTTGCCCCACCTCCCTCCCGTAGGGCCAGTTATTTTTGGTGAACAAGGATGGTAAGGCTATTCTGTGATGGCATCATCTGGTAAAAGTGAGAGAGCAAGAATCGCACCTGAAGGAGGGTCCACGCATGGTAAGTGGGCACCATTATTTGCCCAAGCTAGGGGACACACCCACAATCTCTTCGTACTTGGGTGGAGGGTCACTGTAGGAAACACTGGTTTCCTCACCACTACCGTTCTCTGGGTGCCCAGTCACCTCCTCATATGAAGGGGGAGGGGTGGCACTGGATAGTCTGGAGAGGACAGACACAGAGTGCTCTGGAGGGTAAAGGGTCCCGTCCAGCTGGGAGCCACCTCCTGCTCTGCCATCTCCAAGCACCCTGGGGCCTGGCTCCCGCTGGTACTGGGCCTCCGTCTGGCTGTGCGACGTCTCTCGGTAGATCATGACTCTGGGGAGGCTGCGGCCCGCACGGCTGGCCAGGTAGCAGTTCTGGGCATAAGAGGGCCGGTGGCGCGTGGCTTTCTGTAGCTGGCACCTCCAGATGATGAACAAGGCAATGACTATGAGCAGGGCCACTCCCAGGAGGGGTACCACCACATACATTGCATCAGAGTGCCCCAAGCCCTGGCCAGGGTCCTTGACAGAGTAAACAGAGTTGGCATAGCCCTTCCAGAACTCCAACTACAGAGAGAAAGAAAGAAGTACTAGTCACAAGAGTTCATGTCACAGCAGTGCCCACCCTGCACTCTTCAGCTACAATTGTTCAGCCACCTCCTCCCAGCCCCTCCCCTGTCCAGCGGGGCCTCAGATGCAGAGCAACCCCTGAGGTAAAGGATTCCAACCACTTACTTTGCCTGCAGCTAATGGACTAATGACATGACATCAGCTGTTTCAACACCAACCCCTGCCCTGGCCAGTCAAAGCAAGAGAAGCATGACACAAAAACATGCTGTGGAAGTGTCAGCACTGCCTTGCCAATGCTAGAATTCAGAGCACAGACCCCAGGACTTGGAGTGGGAAGAAAACATTACACTGCCCTAGAGAAGTGTTTAACAAGAGAAAGTGAGACCTAGATTTGCTACTGACACTTAAGCAATTGGGCAGTAAGCCATCTTGTGAGGGGGGCAGGGGAGAACTTCCCCCCCACCCCCCACTCCCCAACTCCAGACTCAAGTTACATACCGTCTTCTCTTTGTTCTCAAACACCTCCTTGACCTCCTCATAGCTGCAGATCTCCTCAATGCACTCCCGCTCAATGGTGCCTTGGCGAAACTCCTCCAGAAAGCCATTGGCCCGGGGCAAGCGTCTGAGAACCGAGTGGGCATTCCTGGCCCCTAGAAACACTGAAACAAACAAAGAGGAACTGAGGGCTTGCACTCTCACACATGCACGCACACACCAGCCTCTTTCCCAGCCAAAACCTAAATGTGGAACTTGTTACCACATCTCTGAAAAATCAAAAGCTATAGCACAGCTGACTTTCAATTTTCCAACAAGGGCTCAAATAGGGGTAGCCAACCTGTGGTATAAGTGCCTCGGGCAGCATCTGTGTGGCACATGGCAGATTAGGGAGGGGACAGGCAACAGTGGCAGATAGAGCAGGAAGTAAAAAGCAGAGCAAGAGATTGGGCAGGGAGCAGAAAACAGAGCAACAGATCACTCAGAAGCACATCAGAGTGGCACTCGAGGATGGTACAGAGCTAATTTGTGGCACGTCTGCCAAAAAATGTGTTCCTCCCAACTTCCCTTAGGACTAGAACATGCTCCCCTCCACACACCCTGCCACCAGCTAAGCTAAGCAGCCAGTGACAGAGCCCATCCCTTCATGCTGGCTAGGATGAGATGCCCTATCTTACTCTACCCAAGAGAAAAGCAGGACCTGGACACCCACTTTCAAGGAGTCCCAGCTGCCTAGGACTAGCCTGGATAGTGTCAATATAAAGCACTTGATGGAAGATGTGAACTGGGCTGAGGTAAGCCTCTCACCACGTGGGACAGTGGCCTGAGAGATTTTGAAATAGGATAATCATAGCACCATCCCATTCACCCAGTACTGTCATGTAAAGAAGCCAAAGGCATCATATCAAAACAGAGGTTTGGCCCTCCAGGGTTCACATGCCCACTCTGCAGCACTGAATGCTTTAGGGAAAAAAAGCAAACACTCCTGCTCACCTAACTGCAGGACTAGGCTGGGGGGAACCTCCCAGCACATGGCAGCAGCTAAATAGCCCTATTTTTATAACCTCCTGACCCAAGGGAACATTGCTAGTGTTACACTCCCAGGATTTCAAAGTGCTGCTACCTGTGGACAATATGCTACATCACCCATCTGTTCTCCTCTTTAACCACATAGGAACTTTACTTGACACCCAATCCAGGCCAATCCCATCCTGCCATACAGCCTGCCCCAGTCTTTTAGAACATATGCACTTAATCCAAAGGACCAGATTAAACAAAGCACTGGCAATGGCAAGAGACCAGAGCCCCACAAGCACTGCTCCAGCACAGATCTGCTTGTGACCATTACATGAGGCAGCAGCTCTGCTGCATGGGGAAGAACCCTGCATAGAAGAAGAAAGCTGCCACCTTGGAGGGCCTGATCCCTGGAACAACAGGCAGAAGACCTGTCACGGGGGCTGCCCACAAGCACCAAGCATCAGACTGGAATGAACAAGCAGACAAGTTACCCCACCAAAGGCACCTGTGTGTGAGGGAAGGAGGTTTCACAGTAGTCATGACCTGAACACATACTGCAACTGTGTGATCAGAGGTCAGGCAGTGAATGAACCACTGACAATATCCCCTTGAAAAGGATGCCAATTTAAGTACTTTCAATGCAGCATGCACATACTAGCCATGCTCCTTCAGCCCCTTATGCCATGTTAACAATCCCACAAGCTCCTGGAAGGAATGGCTTGTAGGAAATTCTAAAAGGCCTCCTCAAAGCCCAGAGGGGCTGTGGGAGAAAAGGCCAAACTCCCAAAGTTCCCTGGAAAATTAAACCAATTCCCATTTTTTGTTGCGGGGGGCGGGGGGCAGAGAGAGGTCCAGATAAATGCTCAGCTGATGGGAAAAAAAGGGTCCCGTTGAAGCACTGCAGAACTGCCACAAAACACTAGAGGGCACTCTGGCAACACCAGCAGACAGCCAGAAACCAAAGCAACCAGTGCCTGAAGGTAACACTACTCTACAGTTATGGAGGGGCAGGAGGAGACAACAAGCTAGTCAGGATGAGAGATAGGCAGCAGCAAGTGAGAAAATATTTTTTGATATTATCAGTACAGGACCAGGCAGACACTGCAGCTCCTCTTCCATCAAAAAAAAAGCATCAACTATCCCATGAAAGCTATGTAGCTAGAACAATGACTGTCTGTTGGGTCCCAGTTTGAGATGGCAGAGCCCAGACGAATCTCACCACAAACCTTATAATAACATAGCACTACACATAGCACAGCAGGGCAGCCAATATACCAGAGATCAGTTAAATTAACTAGGTTTATCGAGAAGTAAATGGGTTCTGTGGGTTTGATGGACAGGACCAATCCCAGGCCCTGGCCCAGCAAGCCAGGAATAAAGGCATGAATAAGAAGGGGCCATGCATATAGGAAGATAATTCAAGTGTACCCAGAGTGGTCAAACACTCCAGACTCTATAAAACAAGCAACATGAATGCTGTTCATGACCCCTGCCTTGGCAACTCAAACCATTTCTAGGTTATACAAAGCAAGACATGTTGCCTCACCTGTATCCAGAAGGCACTAAACAATGGCATCAGAGTGAGGCAAAGGTGGAATTTGCCAGGGCTATGCTACAGAACAGTATTTTGAACACCTGCCCACCACAAGTTGCCTAACATTCAGAGCAGGGAGAAGGCAGCAACCTTGGCACAGCAAGGCACAATGGCTGCCTAAGCCGGAGTGGGGGGGGAATGGGGAAAGAAGTCACAGCTTGTGCAAATTCAAGCACTCTGTGCACACATACAGCCCTACTTAAAGTTAGGCCTAACACTTAGGTGACTGCTACTCCCTTGTTAATTAGGGGCTGTACTTACTGCTGTGGTAGTGGCTGATTTCTCCTTCCACTGAATGACTTTCATTTATCTTGCCCTCAGTGCATACAGCAAGGGATCCTACAGAGTACACTAGAGGTCCTGATGCACCTGTATTCATAAGCAATTACTACTCTGATGTGCTGCTAA